CATTGCTACAAGATGAGTGTAGTAATTAGAATACATTATTGAGTTGTGCTGGTTCTGCCTTTCATGTTTTGCATTAAAATTCCTACCATGCAAATTTAGGAGTATTAATACTTGCCTGATTAGAAAGTCTGCTCCATTACACGTTTTAATTATAAAAAAATCCTGTAGTGTTGTTTAATTTCTTGCATTCATTTGTAGAAATAGATATCTTGGCCTTGATGCACCTCAAATGTATTTAATAATGATAAAGCACCCTGAGATATTTTCTGGAGTGTGAACTAAAGAAGGGAAGTCATTGCTTATTCTTAGTGTTGTATAAAGTACATTGGAGTTCTAGGTCAGTGCTTGTATCTTGATGGTTTTAACCCTGGTTTCATAGAATAGACATTGCAAGCTCTTGGATATTGACATTCTGTTCCTATTAATTGTTTGATGACAATCAAAGGCAGGGTGAGGATCATATTGGTATTTCAATCTTTATCTAGTATAATGTTCACTGTTGTACATCACTGCAACCTTCTCAGCCTTTCCTGGTCCCCAAGTCTTCTCTGGTTTGAAAAGCTGCTTCTCACTTTGCAGTCCCTGGCACAAACACCTGCAACCCTTTAAAGCTGTGTTTCTCTCCTCGTGCTCATAATTGCCACGCTCACAATCTGCAACCAACCTGGTGAAGAGCATGCCAAGAGAGAAGCCCTCACCTGCAGTGTTCCCTGCTGGGAACACTAGATTTACCATCCTGGGTAAATCAAGATCTAGCTCAAATATGGTTGGCATTTTTGTGCTGAAAAGGTGTCACTACATTGAGTCAATCCCCAGAGCTGATGTTTCAGCTGAGAGTGAGTCTCTGCCATGTGTCCATTCTGAACACAACAGCACATTGACCAGGGCATCTCCGACTGCTGGGACCTGAGTGGAAGTGGAACACCATCCTCAGAGCCATCCTCTGCATTTCAGGCTATTTTGAGGTCAGTCTCTTCATTCTGGAGGATGCCATTGTTCTGCTTCAGGGTTTGTTTGTCCCTGATGTGCCTGAACACACTTACGATCTCCTGGTCAGCCAAGATAAATTTCCTACAAACCCTCTTTTACTCCTTCACTCTGCAAGACTGACTGTGGCACCCCTGAGTCCTTGGCCAGTTTGTAGCTGAGGCAGGTCTGGTGCCAAGACTTTTGCACTTCTCAGTGCAGAGCTCGAGGAGATTGCATCTAACTCTCTGTCTTCCCATTTCCCTCGGGACAAACAGCATTTTTAGATTTTCTTAAATGGCTTAAAGTAATTGAAGAACATTTAAAGTAATGTAACTTTGTGCCACTGCTTTATCAACCAAGTTTGTAATGTTTTCAAGTTTAAAAAACCCAGGTAACTTTTATCTATTTTATCATACAGATGGTTTCTGTATTCTGTGAAATTTTAAGACTGTGGAATGACTACATAAGGCTTTCTTTGGATATCTTTGGGGTGAAAATCATGGGCAGCCAGCTACTTGTCTTGCTTTAACTTTGCTTGACCTGTTCCTGACCTATGTTCAGCATTAGTTTTCAGTATTTTCTCAGCCATTTGCTCTTTGATTGCAACTCCCCTGGATTTGGAATTGGATGTATTTTTTGTGACAAACTGTTATGACACACACTTCTGGGTGCTTAATTTCTGTCAGATTTTGTGGGAGTCTCTCAAGGAGTTTGTTTATTTAGGCTGATTTCAAAGTGCTCTGCCATCACTGTCCTGTCATTGTGGCTTTCCTTTTCTTGGCAGTCATCAGTTGTGCTGTGAGGAAACCACTGACAGAGATTGAGGTGATAAACTGCTCCAGCTCACAACATCAACATTGCATCTTACAGTTTTTTGCCATATTTTTGCCGGTGCTTCTCTCAGACATTCCTAAAAAGATGGTATTTGGGGACTTTGAACATCTATTTTTACCCCCACAGGCCTGTACATCCTCCCATACTCACTAGCAGCAGTAACACAGTGCTGCTGCCCTATAAAAAAAACTCCTAATGTAAAAATATTGGCTTCAGCCTCTTTTTGTAAAAACAGAAACCAGTTCTTTATGTCAGGCTTGAAAAAATATCCTCTACCATCTTTTTACTGACTTTTCCTGTTGGTTTTCTTAACCCTTTGAGGGATTTTGTTTGCATCCTCAAGCTTGTTATGCAGAAATGATGAAGATGATCCCTGGTACTTTTTGTTTTCCAGCATTATGAAAAAGTCATACAGCTATTTCTTACACAGAGGTATCATGCAGTTCCCTGTAATCTACCCAGAGAACACCAAGTTACTGTTCTCTTAGGCAAACTCTCTGTGACAAAAGGTCTTGCAGCAATTAGGACCAGGGGTGCCAGTCCCATTTCTGTTGCTTTTCTCATTTTATTTTGGATATTAACATCTATTATATAAATTTTTTCCCACTCCTTGTGCCACCTGAATTGCAGCCTTAATGCTCCCAGGTTTTAGGCTCTTTCCACCTTGGGAATTTTGCAAGTTCCTGAAGACAGCTGTGGGCAAAGATTTAAAAAGCACAGCAACGTATTGTGCAATTTCCACTTCTAAATATTATTTATTTGAAGCCTCACTCGAGGCACTTGACTGCTTCTTCGTGCCCAGTGTATGAACAGTTCCTGTGCTTCAGAGATCCTAATTGCAATATGACATTCCCTCTTGACAAACGTGTTACAATTTATTCTTCATATTGAAATATTGATGTCCCAGAGCTGAAATTAAACCTTTGCTTGCTCAAGTGTTTCAGGACCATGCTTGTTTGATTGTTGCATTACCTGCACAGCTTTACTTTTGCAAGCATTGTGCTAATCGTCCTGAGACTTACTTCACACTGGGCTTTTAAGTCCACTAAAAATCTTAACTTTGGCTTCCTGATAATTCTCATTAAAACTTGTTTTGCCTCTGTGTTCACTTCTTTGGACTGCCCTTTTTACAGCTTACCGCCTTTCAGATAAGCTGAGTTTTCTGCCAAAAATGCAAACCCAGCAAATATTGCCGAGAGTCTGTCCAGAAGAGGATGCAGCAGACAGGAACAGGTCCATGTGAACACAAGATCCTGATTTTCTTTCCAGTACAGCTCACCCAGTGACATCAGAACTGGTGGAAGTAGATGTTCATGCTTCTGGCTTCAGACAGTTGGGGAAGTTTAAAAACACTGGAAAAAGAAAGCTAATGGTAACAACTGGCAGGATAAATTGCTGGCTGGTTCATTTGGCTTTGTCCTGCTCCTGACATTGATGATTTGCTTCCAGTTAAACCTGACCCATGTTCTGAAAGAACTCAATTCATTTACTGCTATCAAAATACTAATACAATACCATTATGAAACATCTAAAATTAAACAATGGAATCTGGATTAACAGAGAAGAGATGAACATGGCTGCATTTAGTCTATTCATAAAATGTATGTAATTTCTTCTGGCTTCAGTTGACTGCACACAGAACTATCTTTCTTCCTTTTTTCCAACAATTTTTAAAATTTGAAACTGATATTTTGGTTTGAAGAAATTTTTTTTCCAATTTTATGTTTTGCTGATTTCAGCCTCATAATGGGCAGTGTACCTAATTTGCACTGGTTTTAACAAAGCCACAGAACCCAGCTCAGCCTAATTCCCACCAGGTTGCCCATTACATGCACAGATAAGGTGATAAAAGATGTTGCCTTCTCTGTATAACACAGGCACGTGTGTGCCCACAGAAGCTGCAAAGGAGCTGCAGGAGAGGGATGGCTACCACTGAGTCACATCACTTTCTTCATGCTGCCAGCTTTGCAAAATACCACATTTATGTCTGCGTTGGAGGGCACAGCAGTTTCTTGTTCAGACTTGAACTCATTTTTAGTGAAGACACTTTCTCTTTGCAACGTAAGATTGAATCCTCTGGTAACTGGCACACAGAGCTTTCTCTGTGCTTCAAACTCAGTGTGAATCCCTTCATTATCAGAGGACAGATTTTTAATGTGTCCTGTAAATTTATTGAGAACTGGTAATAATAGTCAGGATTCTGAAATTACTTAAAAATCTAGAAAACCAAGGTACATGAAGCTTTCAATTAGGTTACATTTAAAAAGTATATAAAGAATTGGAATGTCATATTTAATTTATTTTTGAATATGAAAATTGTAATGTCGTGATTTTCTTAATTATTTAATTGTAATGTGAGTTTTAAGCACTGTGTCACTAGCCCTTACTTGGTGAAATGCTGACTTTTTCCATTTACTGGGAAAAAAAGTTTGAACGCTCAAGGCCAATTTTTCAGAAATCACATGTAGCAATCTCATCTTCTAATTGCATCTTTAGTCTGTACTACACTTGTTTTTGCCTGTGTAAACTGTGTGTACTGGCAGGCAAATTTGAATTTACAACCACATTTAAATAATGCTTGCGACTAAAATGCCTGGAATATTTTACCTATTGTAAGTACTTACCATATATCCAATCTAACCTGCTGTAAATACAGAGTCTATACTATTGTAACTATATTTTATGTAACTGTGTAGTCTAACCTATATGTAACATTCTTAATCTGAATTAAGTCATTGTAAGGCAAATCACTAAGTGTGTTTTTAAAGTTGCCAAGGCAGATGAAACTGAATCTCACTCGTCCCATGCCAAGTGGTGAGCAAGGGCTCTCACCTGGTGTCACTCCAATCCAGATCTCCCAAGAGACACCAGCAGTTCCCTGACACAAGCTTCAGGAAAAATACCTTGAGTGCAAGTGATTCCACGTTCTGGTACTGAGGCTTGCTGAAAGCAGAGAGATGTGCTTTTGGTCAGAGATCAGTTTGATACATCTCAGTATGGCAAACAGATGGGGGGCAGGAAAAGGGCAGGCACTGATGAAGAGGGAGGGACAGAGGGAGGGAAAAGGAGCTGAGACTTTGAAGAACTCAGTTTGCAGACAAAACTGGTGGAACAAGAAGCAAGATTACTTTTTCCCAGTTCCAGTACCTCCTTTTTGATAGAGACAGCTATAAATCAGCTGGCAAATTAGCTCAGAAATGCTAACAATAACTGAAGGTTTTGTAGTCCTGATCATTTTTTTGTTAATTGTTGAGTTTTTCAGGCTGCAAAAAGCTTGCAAGCAATTCCCTCCTGGACCAACTCCTCTCCCATTACTTGGAAACTTGGTGCACTTGAACTTTCAGTTTCATCGGGATCTTCTGATGGAGGTATTTCTTTTAGTATGCTCTTAATTGTTTATTTTTAGCCATGGCTTAAAAAATTGTGATTAATTGAAGGTTTTAAGTCTGTGAAAGTTACAGACAAGGTGTGGACATATAAAGATCAATTGATTCCTACATTTGAGTCACCTTCTTTTGTCTTCTTCATGAGGAAGTTAATGCCCTTAAGAATCAAGTCAACTCGTGGACAGAGTTTATGACTTGTTATTAAAGTCAGAGAATATCAATAATCTAAAAGATGCTTCTGCACTGCTAAGTGTGAAGCTATATTCACTATAGTGATAGCTCTATCTGCTATCCCTACATGATACTTTTTAAAACTTTAGGCATTGCCTAATTTGATCATAAAGTGGGTAACACGGTGCATGTATGCTTGTAGTACAGGAGGGGCATTTACTCTCCATCTTCCTACAGCTCCTGAAAACTGTTTGTTGTTAGTGACAGCTGCAGTAATTCCTCTAATGGTTTGCAGGTGAGCTCTGGTTTGGGTGGATGACAGAGCACACATGGGCCAGTGAGTGCAGAGCAGACAGGCTGTGATGATTAGCAGGGAGAGGAAAGCCCCAGTCTGAAAAAATATGAGGAGAAGCAAGTGTCTGGTGTGATCAATTGAATGTAATTTTTGTGGCACCTTAGACACTGTCTGTCACCTTTTCTGTATCATTGTGGGTGTGCTGGGGCAGGGTCCATACTTGTACAAAGCTTTTTTCATGCATGATTGGAGTTCCTCTGCCACACACCCATCCCTGCTTGGATACCTCTGCTGTGTCCGATGGTAAGTGCTCTTCTCAGTACTATGAGGAAACCCTGGACTCAAATGCAGCCCACTGGCACTTCATGGCTGTTGGTTAATTTCTGTGTCCATGTCCTCTCCTGGAACACACAGATGGTGCAGGTTTTATCAGCTTATTTCATTTTGCAAAGGCAGGACTCGCTGGAAGCACAGAGCCCCAGGGTGGTGCAGTGTGGCTCTTCAATCAACAAGGTACAAAATGTTAGGGTTGGAGGCAAAGCAACATAAAGTACAGCAACATAAAGTACAAAGTTTTCTTTCTTTTGCTGCAGAATGTGCTTTGAAAAGAAAATAACTTCCCCCAGGGGTAAATAAAATCGGCTGCTGAAAGCCTTATTCTCAGCAAAACAACTGCTTCTAGCTACAATTATATGCATGGGGATGATGTTTTCAGCACAAAACTGTCCACTGGGCTGGTGAATAGCAGGTGCAGTGTGAGATCTATATATGGGGCTTCATCTGTTTTTTTCTGGCACCTTTTCCACTTACAGCTGGCAAAAACTCATGGTAACATGTACACTCTGTGGTTTGGGTGGGTCCCAGTGGTTATACTGAATGGATTTCAAGCAGTGAAGGATGGCATGACCACACACCCTGAAGATGTTTCTGGCAGGCTGGTGTCACCTTTCTTCAGAGCATTGGCCAAAGGAAAAGGTGAGATTTTCCTGCCATTAATAGTGTAAAGGAATGTTGACATGAAAACTGCTCTGCCTTGTTAGACTCTGCCATCCCATTCAGAATGAGCTTCCATCAGATACTGTTCAAGTCCTCCACTGGCTTTTTGAGAATATCTTACTGTTTGCCATGGTGCCTTTTGCACTGAGCTTTCCTAGCCTAGGAAACATTCCACATTGTTTCCATGAGACTTTTTTGCTGTATTCAAGATATTTGTTTGTGATCCAACCCAGAACCCAGCAATCTTGCCCTCATCACAGACTAATCCCTTGTGGTACCATGATTTTGCTGTACATCACATGAATGCAGTGCTTGTTTGGTAACTGCATATATTACGGTTGCCAAACACTTTCCATCACGATTAGGAGACCTATAAATGCCTACTTCAGAATTCACATTTCTGTACTTACAGACACCCCCACACATTTTGTGAACACCTTCTCACACTTGTGAGAGTGCCTCCAATACAGGAAAACCCACTTCTCCTTAGAGTATTCCAGCAGTTTGCAGTATTTTTTTCCTCTCCCTGCAGTTGCTAGACCAAAGCAGACACAGATTGTTTAAAGCTGGTTGAAGCCTCACCTCCTCAGAAGCTGTTCAGGGCTCTTCAGGTGACCAGGAGCGCAATCTAAATGGAGTGTTATCTCTTCCAGGGTAGAAACAGAGCCCAAATGTCACTTATCTTTCACCTTCATCACCTCAACCTACAACCATCACATTAATTGATCTATGTCATCACAAACATACCCTGCCCTGAACTCTACTCTGTGGAAATTCCTCCAGTTCTTCCTGTCTTGTGTAATTACTTGAGTATGGCTAAAGCAGATTTCCTAAAAAGGCATCCTAAGGTGTTTCAGAGTTTTTTAAGACATCAAGAAATGGCACCGTCAGAAAATTCTTAGATTGCTCTTTTCAATGATTAATGACATTCAATATTAAGAACATGTGGTCTAGTTATAGTTTGGATATGTTTGGCTATGATTTTTTGTTACCAATAATTTCAACTAAAGATACTTGTATTCCCTGATTTATTCCATGTACTTTATAATATATATTTAAATGAATAGTTCCATGTCTGTGGCAAATATTAACATGCCAGGGAACACCCTCAGGCATTATTCTTGCAAGTGGTCGCTCCTGGAAGCAGCAGAGACGTTTTGGAATAATGACTCTACGCAATTTGGGAATGGGGAAAAAAGGCCTGGAGCATCGAGTGCAAGAGGAGGCCTCTCACCTGGTGGAGTTTTTTGTGAACCTCAAAGGTATTTTACCTGCTAAGAAATCAGGTGCTTTTCAGTCTGAAATGGATCCATATCTTCAGTATGCAAACTTACCTACCCCTTCTAGGGGATGTATCCAAACTTACCAAAGCACAAGAGCAGACAGGGCCTAGAATCACAAATATTTCCTTCTTATATAGCTTTTCATACATTCAGTGAAGCAGGAAACTTCTGAAATTCCACCTCCATGGGTGTATACTTTGTCTGTGATATATTGTACAATGACACAGTGCTGCTGAACTGCACAGCCAAAGCATTCTCAGGCTGCCTGCCGTGGGTAACTGAACAGTATTGCAGAGCTTAGTAATTTCCTTAAATTTCAATGACACTGGGTGCCCTGCATATTTTCATGTCTACCTGGCTAAGGAACTATTGGCTAAGTAACTGCTGGCAAGAGAAACAAAGCAGGAGGTGGGAGGGAACTTCAGTGGATTATCAGGTTAATCCTAGAGCCTGTGACAGGAGGATTTCTATCCAAATCACTTTTTATGAATATCTGTTCCATAGCTTTAGAAGAAATCATCAGAGAGAGATATGATTTACTGCTCCCAGCTGAGACTGTAATAGTTTCATTATACTTACTTTGCAGTTCCTCTCTATTATTCTTCTTAAACCTTCCCACATTCCTCCAGGTTTTCCTTGTAATTATTTTTTTACATTTTTGAACATGTCTGTCACTGACTTCCCTTATTTCATGTCCAGTGGCACTACTTCCATCTCACATTCTCTCCTCACAGGTGAAGACAGCAGATTTGATGTGATACTCTAGAACAGATCACAGCTGTACAACATTATTTCACAGGAAGGGCTGTGAAATTGTTTTAGTGCTATGAAGAAACTGTTTAACAGTGTTCTCTATTTTAAGACGATGTTTTATTCTCCTTAGTTCATGTTAGTGCCACATCTCTGTCTTAATTCACACTCCAGCTGGATAAAGAGAACATTTTATTAAATCTTCAATAACACCAAGCCCTCTCTGTATAAGGATAATCTGAAAAAAACACTGAGAGTGAATTCCAATTACTGTGTTTGCAGGAAGACCTGTGGATCCTTCTTTCCCTCTTTTCCATTCTATTTCAAATGTAATTTGTGCTGTGGTTTTTGGATATCACTTCTCTGATGAGGACAAAACCTTCCATGAACTGATCCATGCTACAGAGAAAATATTCAGGTTTGCAGGCAGCTTTGTTCATCAGGTAAGTAAATCATGTGCTGATTTTTTTCTGAAATAGGTAGAAAGTGAAAGAGCAGATACAAAAATGGGTCTTCACTAAATATAGAGCAACAGGCAAATGCAGGCTGGGAGCTAAGAAGTGTCCATGGGGAGGGACCTTATGACAGCATCCTTGGTTTTAAGGCCATTTTTAAGAACTCTCTTGGGTTTTTTGCAAGCTTAAGGGCTTTAAGACCTTTAGTATTTCTGAAACTATTAACAGAAACCTCTAAATTTAGAGACTAGAGTTGGTAATATATTTGAATTCTGCAGTGCTGCTCCTCCCACTTCTATTTACTTCTCTCCTTCAAAAATATATATAATTGGATTAATTCTTCTGCTTTTTATCACTCTGCAAATCATATGCTGAAAATTTTCTTTTTCCCCTACCTCACAAATGACAAAATATTTATTATTAATCTATTCCTTACTATGTTATAGCTCACCATTCGCACATTGCAAAAACAACAGATACATTTTCTGACACAAGTGCTGTCAGAGATTTTTTTGTAGCTCCTTCCCACAAAACACCATAAAGACCAACTTTGCACTTGAAGCATCTTGCAGTGCATTTGAGGCATTGTGGTTTAGACCCTTAAAGAGGGACTAGCTGTGTGTTATGGGGAATGTGGATGGCATAGCAAATTTAATTGGCATTTAAGTTTTATAGAAAAGGCAAACTGAAATGCTGATGTGGCAGTAAAGCTATTCAACAAATCTGTCATATGAGACTAGCACTATACAAATTTCCCATAGTTAAAAATATAAAAGTAGATTAAATTTGTGGATGACCAAAACCAGGAGACCTTAACATACAGAGGAGGTTCAGGATATCCTGCTGCAAGAGCTTTTAGGCACTGTGGATTGGAGTTATGAGAATGGAAAGAAATTGTTATAGTATAAAATGAAATTACAAAGCATTCTAGGAAGTAATGAGATTAATAAGATTAATTATTCTAAGCTCACTTATTATGAATTTAGAACATTTCAGTGCAAAGGTTAAGAGGAAAGGGATTGGTGTAAACTAACAGATAACAGGAGGAGAAAGGCAAACAGGATCTTAGGGTATTTCCACCACTATTTTCCTTTTAGATCAAGTGAAGTGTTACAGCAGGTTCTGAAGTGTAATAATCTGTGAGACATATTCTAGGGTCTTGGACATCTTTTGTTGTGATTCTGAAGGGAAACAAAGCTGGAGATGTGGTAATGAAGGAACTACAAACTGTCACTTAAAATTAGAGAGACTTTGCTTGTTAGGTCTGAAAGAACAAGGAGAGGAGATAGAACTGCTCTCTGCTGGGCAGGGTGGAATGGCAGATGCTGCACAGACAGAGGACAGTACTTAGAGCTGACAAATGTGTGTGTAAATACACACAGCAGGCTGAGGATGCAATATTGTTAACCATGAGAGCAATTATTGTTCCTTAACAGTCCTGAAGACTCTGACTAGGAAAACTAAATTAGCCCTCATCAAAGAGTGATACCCAGACCATAATTCCTTTTGTGAACTCCAAAAATTCCAGCAGTTACTTGAGGCCGCAGACCTGTTAATCTTAGAAGCCCCATGGCATCCAGAAAGGATGTCCTTACATTTTTGAGCGTGTGGGAGCTGGGGTCTCCAGCTGTGCAGGAGTGAGGTCATATAGTGATCTTCATTAGCCAAGTAAACTTAGAGGCATGAGCAGAGTGTTGTCAGAATTGCCTTGATCCCTGGAATTGTGTCAAATTTCTATTAAAGCTTTTCCATGTGATGGCAAAAGTCTGCTCAAAGCAATGCTGATTTCTTTATTCCACTATCAACACTTCTGGGCAGGACAATTCAGCCTTCTGGTGTGCCTGAAAACAGCTTTGCCAGCGACAGAGAATCCATGGTGCCTCTTGTGTGTCACTCCTGCAGATGTACGAAATCCTGCCCTGGCTGCTGCGCCGCCTCCCCGGGTCTCATAAGAAAGTGTTGGCTTGCTATGACGTCCTGAGTTCTTTTGCAAGGAAAGAGATCAGGAGACATGTAGAGAGAGGGATACCAGCTGAACCACAGGATTTCATTGACTTTTACCTGGCTGAGATTGAGAAAGTAAGTGTTCATTCTGGCTGATCATGCTGTTATGAAGTATAAGGTCAAACAGACCATTAAATCGCTCAGTGTGACCCTTCCACTACAGCTTCTTACATTTCATAAGCTCCTTAACATGAATACAATATCTGGCACTTACTAACTCACAAATCTCAGAAAGGCATCCAGTTTTGTATCTTGGTAGCATGAATGAATTACCATCAGGTATGATGGGGGGTGAACCCATGAGCTCTTATCTGCTTTCCATATATATCCATGAGTATACTTCAATCCTGTAATAAACATGAGACAGTTTATTTCTGTAGGCTACATAACTTTGGTAGACTACCTCATCTTCTACAGCAAGGCTCATGTTTACACTGGGATTAAATACACATGCAGAAATCACTGCCCTGAAATAGCAGGCATGCTTCTTAGGGATCCAGTGTGTGTGCTCCAACACTGGCTGCCCTTGTGCCACATAACTGTCTGGTTTCTCCTTTGGCAGGCAGTCATTATCCCTCTGTTACCTCTAATTTCCCCACTGTTTGGGGCATGGCTGGCTTGGCCCCTATATTCAAATTGGACAGCCTAGAAAACAATTCCATAAACAATGCCATAATCGGCATTAATCTTCTTCCCTGCCCAGGCTATTATTTTCCATAGTAGGAAATGACTGAGCCAGAGAGGCTCTGCCAAGAGCACTTTGTTTCTGCTTCAAACTTTTCGGGAGGTAGAAGAAGCATTTCTTTCCTAGGTAGAGGAAGTTTATGTAGTTTCTACCTCTGCCATAAGCTTTCAGCTAGTCAGGCTGCTGTGTCCTCACAGCGCTGGCTCATGGGCTCTGAAAGGAGCTGATACATCATCTTGCACTTAGTATCTGAGTGAGTATGACAAGATTTACTAAAATAAGCATTTTAGAGGAAAAGATGCAGCTTTCTCTGGTGTCAGTGGTGCAATTTATTGCCATTTGTTTGTTTGAAAACGTTTTTGCCTAACATATTTTCTCTACTTGTATTTTTATTTTACTCCCTTATTATTTAGAAGAAAATACATGGGTACCTCTTACCTATCAACTCACCTTTATCCTGAACTGAGAAAAGAAATTACTCTCAAAATGATCTGTTGAAATCCTTTTATTCAGATACGTTTTCCTTTGGCATTTGCTGGCACCATCAGATACCAAGGCCAAGGAGTGACATGTTGGAGGGCACTTGCTCATAAGTGCATTCTAGGCCAACTGCAAACCTGTAGTGTGCTTTGAAGTTTTAGTCCTCAAGTTAAGTCCTCAAGCATAGAATTGCCTTTCTTTGATGAAAGAATAATCCACCTCATGAAAGACAGCAGTGCAGACTTACTGTGCTTATTTGGGAAACTACTAAACTCTTAGTATGCATCAAAAACTGTAATTTTGACTATTCTTAATTCACATGCCAGCTGTGGAAGTCTCACAGCTCTCACACAGAGCATACAGGATAACCAAATTTTTATGGTTTAACTTCAACTTTTATCACCATCTACAGTCTAAAGAGGGAGCCAAGCCCAAGTATGATGAAGAGAATTTGGTATATGTCATAAATGATCTTTTCCTTGGTGGATCAGAGACCTCAAGCACTACATTGTACTGGGGACTGCTCTATATGGTGGTGAATCCAGACATCCAAGGTGAGAGTGGTGGGGTTTTCTGTTTATTTTTATTATTCTACACTAAACTTAGGCATTAAATAATACTAAATTACAGGGTATAAACCTAATGTACAATGCTGAAATAATTTTTTTCTGTTGCTCCAAGAAAAGCAGTGACCACCTAAAGTATTTTATGCGTTTTTCTCCTCTGAAGTGATGAATATTTGTCCACAGCAAAAGTGCAGAAGGAGCTGGATGCTGTTCTGGGTCCTTCCCAGTTAATTTGTTACGAGGATCGGAGAAAGCTGCCCTACACAAACGCTGTGGTTCATGAGATTCAGCGCTTCAGCAACATTGTCTTTGTTGGTGTCCCCAGACTGTGTGTGAGGAACACAACTCTACTGGGATTCCCTGTCAAAAAGGTACTGAAACACTTTCAGCTTCTGTTCTTTCTTCAGCAGAGAGGCATTTCAGTTCTGTAACCAGTTTTCCATCTATAAACTACTCTTCATTAAACTCAGGAATGTGGTGCCTGGGGAAGAGTTTCTATCTGTGGCACCAGGAATGAAAGAAGTCTTTTACTTAGCATGAAGGTGCTCACACAGCTGATAAGGCCTCTGCCAGGGACACCTCAAGTTCCTGCCCATCACAACTGCAGAAACCATCCCTGCTTGGCAGGGGATGGACTGAGAGGAGAAACTCGATTGCCAAAGCACTGGTTAAGACATCCCTGCCCAGCTTGGCACTCGCCCAAATGCCAACAAGCAACAGTTTTATCCATCAGGCTTAAACTGATGGGTGACAGGCACTGGTAGTAGGAACTGAAGCAACAGTTTCTTCTTTGCAGGGCACCATTGTTATACCAAATATAGCATCTGTTCTGTATGACCCTGAGCAGTGGGAGACACCTCGACAGTTCAACCCTGGCCATTTTCTGGATAAAGAAGGAAACTTTATACCACGAGAAGCTTTCTTACCATTCTCAGCAGGTAAATGAATTGACAGTTTGAACTGACCCGGCAGATGAGATGATGAATGCACAAGTATGAGATCATGGTATTTCCTCAGATAACATCTTCTGTCTCTGCTGTTTGCTGCTTTAGAAGAACATTTCTGGCTTGTTTCTGCCAAAGGAGAGGCTTCTATGCTGTCAGACCCCAAAGTGTTGATAGGACACTGGTGGGAATCCCACTCAAACTCCCGAACCTCTCGGGCTGGCTGCATGCCTAGCTAATACACAAGTTTTGTCTGTATTCTTTACACCTAGCTATTTTCCTGAACAGTAATTTGGCCTGTGTGTACTGGAGTTATTGCAATCCCTTTTAAAGAAACAAGGTGAAAGAAAAGCAGAAGGCATAGTGATAAACACAGGATTACGTTCTTGCACACAGAACTGAAAATCCAGTAGCAAAAGAAGGAAACAAGAAAACAATGCACAGACAGTAATCATACCTAGCAGTAAAGCTCCTGCTGACAGTTTTTAGTTTGTTGATGGTCACTTAAATGTCCACTCAGAAGTGGTTTCTTAATTCAGATTGCTTTTTCTTTCCTTATATTATATTATATATACAGGTATGCTACCTGTAAATGTGTCTGTAATATTCACCTTTTCTGCTCACACCATTGGTGCCAAGGAATGGGAATCCTGGGAAAGGAACAGTAGGCCTCATGCTTTGCCTATAAAGTGACCAAGTCTCTGTTCAACTGCAAATGCTATTACTAAGTAATTTTGCTCTGCTGATGTTAACTCACTAAAGCATGTGCAAACAGCTGGCAGATTTTTTGTGTGTGGTCCTGAAGTTCAACATCTTCTGTAAAAGCAAAATAGTTTTTTTTTTCTGTCAGGTCAGAAAGAAATTATGTTGGCACCTCATGGGTTTTCACTGACATTTTCATTTTGTGTCTCCTAACCTAGGACATTGGATGGGATCTTTTTGAAAGGGAATACACATAGCTTTAATTCTGTGGCTTTCATGTTGCTCTCCTTGAACAAAAAACCAAAACCCACCTCTGCTTTCAACAAGAATGAACTGAGTGATTATGAAACTGAAAAATTCACTGTCCTCTCCTGTTCCCTCTGCAGGGCACCGGGTGTGTTTGGGGGAGCACTTAGCCAGGACCGAGCTGTTCATTTTCTTTGCCAGCCTGCTGCAGGCGTTCACCTTCCGCCTGCCCGAGGGGGTGACCGCGGTCAGCACGGAGCCCGTCATGGGGGGCACTCTGCAGCCCCACCCCTACAGGCTCTGTGCCATCCCACGCCAGGCTGCAGCAGCCACAGGCCAGCACGGCACAGCCACCTTCGCCTCCATCACCCGTAATAATATGGTCTAGGTTTTGAAATCGGACTGCAGGCGTCTGCTCCAGGCAAATGTGTGCAACTGGGTGTGTTACTTTTTAAATCACTGTGATTGCTTCAGCTAAAATGAGTTCATGTCACAGAACTGCAGAAGGGCTGCTTTGTTTTATATGTGCAGGATAGCAGGAGTGTGTGAATCCAGAAAGCCTAAAATATTTAATTTTGATAGATATGAAAGAGCTGCCTAACATATGGTGCTCAGCTCTGCTAAGTTACAGTACAGGAAAGCAAGTTGTCTGCCACCCAGATCCTCTGCTGATGTTTTTCTTGTGCTTTTCTTTCTCTTTCATGATGGGCCTCTCATGGGTAGCAATATTAGTGCCACAGCCATAAGCAGGACAAATGCCAAACTCCAGAGAAGCTATTTACCCTGGCAAAAAGAAAAAGCAGACACTGGAGACAAAGACAGCCTTGTGTAAAAGTTGGTAGATTCTGCATCCATCCAGAAATTAAAAGCAAGGGTTGATTTTTTTTCACTTCTGTTCAAACAAGTTGTTTGAACTGTTTTGTTTCCAAGGCCAAGGCAAAACTGTCCCTGTGGAGGCTTCATGGAATGACCCAGTGAATCATTGGTGTGTAGTGGGGGAACCTGACATCTGTGGGATTACATTTTGAAAAAAAAGAAATTATCTGGTGCACCAGCCTATGCATTTGGGGAAACTATTCCTGTATTTGAGGAAATTTAGAAACTCTTGAACAAACAAGAGGTGAAAGAACAGGAAATTTTTGCTGTCTCTCTGGCAGGTGACAAATGCAACAAAAAGGGAGATGGGTCAAAAGAGCCAGAGGGGGTTGCGCTGCACATGCTATGTTGGTAATCTGAGCCTCATCACAGGATTTGTACTAAACATCTCTTTCTGTTCAAAAAGCAATTGGATATATCTTCAGCAGGAAAATTACTTTAGGGTGGTTTAATATCCATACAGTGTTTGGTGTTTGTACTGTTCTTACAAACTTTTATAAGACTCCTGCAATCGTGTGCTGTCAGAACATGAGACTGGCTGAACTTTCACCTGACACACCATGGCTGTGTTTGAGTTCTGTAACAGAATTAAAATAGTTTCATATTAATCTTCATCCTGAACATTTGTCATTATTATGTCACTCTCTTATATTTTCCATTTGAATAACTTCATCTCACTTTCAGACAGCACCCTGACCAAGTGCCTGCTGAGACGTAACTTGGGAAACTAGAACAAGATGCTCATCCAAGCAATTGTAATCCTGGAGTATGAGCCAAAATGCACTAAATGCTATTCACTTCCCTTTGATTAAAAGTTTTGCCTCTGCCACATTTCAAAGCTTAATTAATTCATTTGCCAAATGCCTTCAGGTGAAAAAAACGCACTGTGAACAGGAAATCTGATTTTCTTCAGTACTAAAATTAAATTTCATGTTTAAAAAAGACAGACAATATGCTAGTTGAATTGGTGTTATACACTTCCTTTACCACATTGTTGAGGAGCCATTTGTCATCATGTGTGAGATCTGCATTTAAGTCCATGCTGCAAGGGCAGCTTTGAACTGGGAACAGTGGATAACCCAAGACAAGGAAATCCCTCCCCATAAAATCCTTGTGCTGAAATGTTATCTTCTCACTTCTTTTTTGTCTTCATTATATTTATATTATTATCTCCATTATATTTATAATTGTGAAATGTTACATTAATAACATTTGCAGCTGAATTAAATTGAAAGTAGCAACAAACTTGAGGGTCACCTAAGAACAGATTTATGGATATTTGTAGATAGTTGAGTTTCAACATGTGTAAAATACAGTTGATGTACCTGCAAAAATCAATGTGAACTCAAATAGTGGAAGGGAGAGGGAAAGAGAGGTGTAGGGATGCATATGCACTGCAGATTAAAACAGGGGCAACCTTTTGAAAGTAGAACTGTATAAGGAATACTGTGTTTACTTTGGGTGTTTGTTACAGTCAATGATATAAGCCAGGCAAATAAGATAAGCCTTGTCACACAGTGATTGGAGCACAAGAGATGTCAAACAAGGGGTCTGAAGATCTGCTTTGCCATTTCACTAAAAACATGAGTAAGGCAGTTTGGTACAAAGGGATCTAGCATTAGGCTTGACTTGATTTACCATCCTCACTGGTGATTAAGAGGAGTTGAAGAGTAGAACATGCTTTGGAATGTGACATTTTAAAATTATTCTAAACTCCTTGCAGAACTCTTAAGAGAAAAAAAGGGGTTTATGGGACTGACTGAACATAAAAATGAAGCCACAATGTAGAAAATAATTCATAGAATAAAGCATAGACAAATGTGGGCACAATAAAACACAGGAAAAATAGTCCTAAATTATCTGGGTCATTCCCAGGATGCTCTGAGGAGCCACTATAAATCTGTATGAATGATATGTTAAGGTGATTTCACAGTGCTCATATTAGCTGGGGAAAATCAATGGTTTTATATGCACGTGGAAACATATCTTACAGAAATGAATTAAAAATTGTGGGTTTCACTATAGATTTCTCCTTGCTTCAGAGACATCCATAGGAAATAAAGCAATCAGATTTTAAAAACACAGCAGCTATGAACCCTATATTTTAGATTGAATCAAAAGGTTTTAAAATTTCTTCTTCCTCTTCCTCCATGTACTGAGGGGAATCATTTAGATGAAATTTCCATTCAAAATAGCTTTTACAATTTCCCCCTCGGGGAAAGAGACAAGTCTCAGTAGGAGCTGAGAGACTACAGTGTGCTAGGTAAGAAATAGCTGGTGGGAAAGTGTCATATATTAAATAAATTTCATCTCAGCAGCCCCTGCCCTGCTGTAGGTTCCAGAAAAGAAAAATTACAAGGAGTGAAGCTAAATGGTAGGAAGGAGAAAAACCTCTTTCCTACTGCTGGAGTAAAAGGAGTTCAGCTTTTGTCCTGATAAGCAGAGAGGACAGACAGGGAGCAGCAAGGACTCAAGGGAGCATTCAGCAACTCCCATTTTAATTTCCTCAGCAGCAGTGTCACAACTGGGCTGAGAAAAGGAGAACAGACTCCCCCAAGCCAACTCTTCTCCCCATTACTGAAAAGCGGCTGTGCTGGCTTCAGATAGCACCACAGCCAACACAACATCTGCAGGAAGTTATACAACTTGGGTATTTACAGTAGCTAGCAGATAAATAATAAAATAATCTAAAGATGCCATGTAAAGAAGGGGTATTATATGTGGAGTAATGCTGTATCTGTAGTTTACTCTTGAGAAAACAAACATCACTGCCAGAATCCATGGAAAAAAGTGTGGATTTAGAGGAAACTTCTAAGTCTCAGAGGGAATGGTGCTTTAGCCATGTATTTCTAATGAGTCTCCTGAAACAGAACCATCATCATCGTGTAAAAACATATCTCTTGGAAAAGTTAAGCAGGAGGTCTTACAGCCAAAATATACCTTGGATACTTCAGTATGCTGAGATCTTCACAGGAAAGTTTTCAGTTGTCAGGAGTTTGAATGTTTTGCATATTCTTTGGTAAAGAAGGAATATTAATTGCTGCCTTTTCTGGCATCACCAAGAGCTCTGTCCTGAAGGATGGCACAGGAGGACAGTGGTGGGGGAATGGGATTCTGTGAACTTGTCCTAAAGCTTTCACTGATATAAGAGAATTCCATGAAGTGTTCTGAATTCAGCAGTTCAGCAGATCTCTAAAAGAAACATCTGCCAATGAAAAACTTCCAGCTTGATCTTTTGCTATCATTCAAATATTTTTAATGCTGCCTATGAGACAGACTGCTTTTTCAGACATGAGGAGACAAAAACTTATAAAACACTACTACTTTCCACTGCTCTTCACATTTACTTGGTTTGGAAAATCAGAGATCCTGCAAACTATTGTTTGCTGAAGTCATCTGGAGTTGATGATGTATATATTGTAATGTTGGCTGTACTCTAAACTCACCCCTCTCTTGCCTGAAGATTAAAGGCAACGCCAGCTCTGCAGTATGATGAAGACAACCTGGTCTGGGTCCTCCACGTCCTGTTTTTGGCAGGAACAGAAACCACAGCGACCACTTTGCACTGGGCACTGCTCCATATTTTGACTTATTCCAGAAAAGATGGGAGACTAATGAGGTCACATGGAAAACTGCTTGGATTGTGCTTTCTCAGAGAACACACCAAGGTCAGCACAAAGGTAAACACTTGCAAAACTGAATCCAGTTGGAAATTCATACTCCCTGTGAGCTGACAAACACACCTGATTTATTGAGCATCATGGGGTCACCCAAGCCCCTTAGTTTCATCTTGCTGCCCTGAACCTTGGCAAGAAGTACCCACTCTTTCTTCCTTTCCGTGAGAGTCAGGATGAGCGCAGAGGCAGCCGGGCATGCAACAAGGCTGTGTAAGATAACTGGAGAGTACAGTGTCTCTGCAGCTGTGCTGTGAGCACAACAGTTCCCCGGGCCTCTCCCAGGGTGGTCCTGAAGAGACAATAGTATTGACAAATTGCACATTCACTGAGAGAAGGGAAACTCCCGTCCTTAACATACAGCTGCAACATGGGATCAAAGCAGTACCTTCCTTACAGGCCACCACTGCCCTTCTCCAGTACAGCCTGTTCCAAGCAGTGGCAGACCCCCTGAATGTCCTAGCAATTCCTGATGCTGAAGATTCTCAGAGAAAGGTTTCATCTGGGGGAGAAAACAGTAATGGCAACTCCTGGGCTTTTGAGAAGTATTTTGCAATGCTTCATTGTCTTTCATAATGTTTCCGAGGAATAACAAATTCAATAGATTTGTTTTCAGTCTTCCATAATGTTTTCCCATTATTATGTCTCTCCAGTCCTAAGCCATCCATACACTTTATACCTGCAAAATCTTATTAGGGCATTAGATGAGGATGTTTTAGTGCATTAGAAGGAAACAATCAGCAGAGAATGTAATATAATTTCTGTGCAGGGTAGTTCTCTGTTTACTGTCACTGGAGTGGTTAACTGGGAATGTATTTGTGACAGCAGCAGCCCAGAG